GTACGTCAAAGCAGGGAGGGCAGCAGTGTCGAAAAGGTGAGCGCGGAGCCGGATGTTCTTTGTCTTCTTCACTACTCCCTCGATACTCTTAAATGCTCCCCACGCGGCGCGTTTCCTACTGCACAGCTCCGGAGCTAGGTCGTTCATCATGCTGACTTCCCGACCTAGATACACATGGCTAGAGCATTCGGAGATATGCTTCCCGTTTAGCGTGAAAGGGAGCATCAGGTACCAATCCGTTCTTCATGAACATCGTCTTCGTTAAGTTCAGTCTCAAGCCGATCTTTCCACAGGCACTGTCAAACTCGACCGGCATTCGTTCCGCCTGCTGATGTTCGGTGTTACAAGCACGATGTCATATGCAAAGCGGGTGTGATTTAGGTAGCGGCAGTGGACCTCCCCTCCCGAGTCTTCCCATTCCAAACGACGCGTGATATTCTCGAGAGCGGCACTGAAAAGTTTGGGCGATTTGGTATCGCCCTGCAGGACACCTCTCTTCACTTTGATAATGACTTCCTTGTAGAATGATGAAATGCTGGTCGTGAAGTTGTCGTAGAGCTCACGAAGCATCTTTATATATAGGGTAGGAACGCCGTGGTTGCCCAGCCCTTCAATAACCGCTTCTGTCTCAACGGTGTCGAAAGCTTTCTTCAAATCGATAAATGTAAGGCATAACGGCATTCTGTACTCTAGTGATACTTCGTTGAGTCTTGTAAGTGTGTGGATATGATCGATTGAACTGAACCCTCTCCGAAACCCTGCTTGCTCGCATGCTGTCCTTCATCTAATATCCTGCCAATCCTGCTTAGGACGACACGAGTGAAAAGCTTGTAGATTAGAGACAGCAGGCAGATTGGGCGATAATTGCCAGTATCGTCTGGATCTCCCTTTTTGGACAGCGACACAGTCTTGCTAGTTTTCCACGAAGTAGGCACTTCGCGTTGTGACAGGTAATGCGTGAAAAGCTGGGCCAGGGTTTTGACAATGACTGGCAAAAGGCTTGTTAGGTGTTCTGCTTTGATCCTGTCGGGACCGGGGCGGAAGGGAGAACCGATGGAGCGATATATTCGTCTTGCCCAAGATGGCAGGTAGGCATGTA